TGCATTCCTTCCTTTCCTTCCTTCCTCCCTCTGCATTCCCTCCTTTCCTTCCTTCCTTTCTTTCATCATTCAGGACCAGACAGCTCCAAAGAACTCTGAAATACTTGCCCATGTCCTTGGGTGAACCTGCCCCCTCCTATACTCTTCTAGAGGGAGAGCTGAAAAGGAAGAGAAGGAACATGTGGAGCTCGGCACCCCAGACCTGTGCCCCGTGGTCCAGCATAGCACCAGTAGTTGCAAGCCACTGTTCAAACACACTGGGAAGTCTGCATGACAGACATTTGGCATTTCAGAGCCAGTGTCTCTAAGGCTGAGAATGCCTTACGCAAAGTGCTTGAAGGCAGTATTTTGAATTCCAGATTCTGGAATGTTTGCATATGCATATTGAGATACCTTTGGAATAGCACCTGATTGTAAATATGTAATTCATCATGTTTTGTATAGATCTTATTCAGACAGCCCTAAAGGTAATTTTTTTTACAATATCTTTAATAATTTTGTGTATGAAATAAAGTTTTATGAGAGGGAATTTTCCACTGGTGATGTCAGATCAGCACTCAGTGTGAGATTTTAGGGTTAGGTTGTGGCGCAGTAGTACTGTGCTTGCCTACATGCACAAGGCCCTTGGTTTGAATCTTAGGACCACACACACACACACACACACACAGCAGTTCCAGATTTTGGAGCATTTTAAATTTTCAGATTTAGGGGTGCTCAACCCATGTCCTCTGCAGGGAGCCTGCAAATGACCTTTAGGAGTGTCTGTAAACCTGAAAGATTGAATCTGGTTATGCCTACATGAAAAACTCTGCAGAGTACATGAGGCTGGCCAAATAGCTCAGCAGATTAAAGCACCTGCAAGCAGGTGCAGGGACCCAGGGTTCAATGCCAGGGCCTGCTGAGCTGGTCCCCCCCCCCCCAGGGTGCACTGAGACAGCAATTGAGACTGGGTGTGATGGCGCTGGTCTATAATCCCAGCACTTGAGAGGCTATAAACAGGTGGCTCACTATGAGTCCAATCTAGTAGTGAGACCCTGAACACCCTGTAGACCCTTCCCTAAAATACAAAAAAGAAAAAACAAATGAAGCTTTCTCCTTATTACTACAGAAGTTCAAATTCACGGTGAAACTTTTTTTGGTGAGGTAATGTTTCTCATGTTAGAAGAATTTTATTCCTACTTCTGTGATTTTTTAGAATGTCCTCCTTAAGACTGGGTGTGGTGGCACAAGCCTGCAATCCCAGCAGTTGGGAGGCTGAAAACAGGAGGATCACTACCAGTCTGATCTGTGTAGTGGGATCCTGTAGACCCTGTACTAAATACATTAAATAAATAAAATGTCCTCTGAAAAAAAAATGTAAAATCCTCACATTCCTCTGAAAATGAAGTCACTCTTTCCTCGACTTATTGACTTATTTTAGCACTGGATGGTCAAAATCTCGAAAGAGGCCCAGTAACACGAGAGAGCCTATCTTGCCAGATAAATTTAAATTTAGTTATTTAAAACCCACCGAAAGAAGTTGAGGCAGCTGATAAATGCATACAATGAGTACTTTAACAGTAGGTGAAAAGTATGGTAAAAGATAAAGTAAAATAATAAGATGAAGATGCAAGTGAAGTAGGTGTACAGACTTGTGCAGAAGACCTCTTCTTAGATGGATGGGAACTTGCAAGATACAGCCCATCACAAATTGATGATGGAGAATCTTACCACAGAGCCAAGGAAGATACAGCTTTGTTTTTTTCTCTAGAGTTAACATCTAAATAACAAATTCTCTCTGGAGTTCCTATTACTCCATTGAATAAATTTGTCCAATTGCTTCCTACTGTGTCTGGAATAAAATCAGAACTGCTTTAGGTCTACCAGGCGGGGCACCGAGCTCCATTTCTGGTACTGTGAGTTCCTATGCCCACTGTGCCCTGGGCACACAGGCTGCTTTCATGAACCTGAAGCTTATGCCCAAGTGAGTGCCTCTGCACCTGCTGGTCCTCTGCTGGAAGGGCCTCTCTGCCTTCTTGTCCCATGGGTGGGCGGCCTCTTGTCAGCTCTCAGAGGGTCACAGCCTCAGAAGAGCTGTCCCAGCCATCCCATCTGTCCAGGCCTTTCCAAACATTCGTGATTTGTCAGCCTACTTTAGTTTCTTTTGAGTGCCTAAAACTATCTGAAAGTATTTACTGGCTGTCTTATTATCACCTCTTTCTCAAGAATATAAACTTCAGGAGAACAAGATATTTTCTATTTTTATAATTGTTCTGTCTGCAGGATCTAGAACAGGGGTGGCAAACCTATGCCACATGTGCTTAAGCAGGCTGTATGTTATCACTGAAAGCTTTAAAAGGTTTGTCATCACTGATCTAGAATAATGACTGAAGAACAGCAAGTGCTCACTAAATATTTGATACATTTTATGATTGAAGTGGCAGATAAGGCTAACCATTTTTTCAAGAACTTACCTTGGTGGGCCAGTGAGATAGCTCAGCAGACTAAAGCACCTGCTTAGGTAAGCACAGAGACCACAGTCTGATCCTCGGCCCCACATGCTGTGCCAGCCCCACTTGAAGGGCAGGCTAAGCCAGCTAGAGTCTAGACGTTGTACATGCCTGTAATCCCAGCACTGGGGAGACTGAAAACAGGAGGATCACTATGAGTACAAGCTGTGTAGTGAGACCTTGTAACAGTCAATACATTAGAAAAAAGAAAAAAGAAAAAAAAAAGAACTTACCTTGGGTTTCAAGCAATTGAGGTGAAAGTAAGATTTTCCATGTCTTTTGTTGCCGCCCTTAGTTTCTCCCTAAACTTTGGTTTACTCACTGAAGCAAATTCGCCTCAACCAAAGAAGCTATGGGTTGTTCTCTCCTGCCAGTGTACCGAGTAAGGAAAAAAGTTGTATAGTTGCCTACGGCTTTACAAATGAATTCCTTTTACTGGTGTTGATTCTTTTAATTAAACTTTGTCCAAAAGTAGTAGTAGTTATTGTTGTTGTTTTGTTTTTCCTTTCTCAGTTCTTTCATAATGCAGTCGACTAATCATGACTTTTCCATTAAGTTCTCCCCCCTTCTTTGGCACTTCTTTGCAAGGGGATTGGATAAGCCTGTACAGTTGGAAAGTGATTTGAGATAACTTTTCTTTACTTAAGGCAGCTGAATTATGTTTCAAACCTGAAAGGTACAAAGGCCAGGGGACAAGGATTGGCAGTGGAGATAAATGAAAGTCATTAGCAGAAATCCCATCTACCCAGCCTATCTTGATCCTGGGCCCGCACAGCGAATGGGAGCCTCTCAGAATGCTTAGTTCTCGATGCACTTACTGCCAAGTGATCGCTCCAGAATCCTTCTGAAAGCTGATGGGTTGTAAAGCCTGGGATTAGAAGGGAAACAGGGCTGGGGTCCATTCCACTGCCTATAGGAAAGGTCGCACAAAACTTGGTCTACATGAATAGTAGTCACCTATGTTTTAATGCACCCTGGGAAGGGACTTGCGGAAGCTGAGCTCCCAGAGGACTTAGGGTTTCTCATGTTCTAACTGGTGCCTGTTTGCCCATTCTGTAGACTCTGGAGGAAGCCGCCCGCCAGTTTTGCCGCCAGGAGGAAGAACCGCGTCTGCCAAACCCTTCTCGCCCCCCAGCGGCCCGGGGAGGTTCCCCGCGCCAGCTCCAGGTCACCGCAGCGGCCCCCCGGAGCCTCCCCGCAACCGTATGCCTCCACCGAGGCCCGACGCGGGCTCGAAGCCCGAAAGCCTTCCCCCTCCGGTACCGAACACACCGAGGCCCATCCAGTCCAGCGTGCACAGCCGGGGGTCGCCCCCCGTGCCCACAGCCCCCCGGCAGCCCAGCCTCGGGCCCACGCCGCCGCCCTTCCCCGGCAGCCGCGGCCCAGCCTTCGGGGGCGGCTCCCTGCGGCAG